GTTACGCAGAGCTGGTAGGTGATGAGTAGTCTGCTAATTGGATTGCTAGCATTCGTACTCTTGCATAGCTGTTGAAGAAACTTTCATCTGCATGAATTCCTAAATATGTGAGTCAGGTATTGGAACTCAACCATTACAATATGTTTCTACTGTGACGAAAGGTTTTTTTTGGTGTGTGTGTGTGTGAATGATGTAAATACTGGATCATTCTTGTGACCAAAGCAAGGGGAAGGAAAGAAGATGTGCAGTACAATCTGGAAAAGATGTAGGTGGGAAGAAGTCTAGTGAGTGTTATGAACAGATCCACTCATCCTTGATACTGCCATGTGTATCTCAACTAAATCTTTTTTTTTCTTTTTTCTTTTTTTTTTTTATTCCAAAAATTTATCAATAACCTGCAGCAGCAGATCTTTCCTATGCTTTTTTTTAATTTTATTTTTTATTTTTTTTTTTCCAAATGCTTTCTTTTTATTTGGCTAGTTAACTAATTCATTAATTGTTTGAAACTTCTTCATTGTTGTCTTCCAGGATTTTCAAATAATAGAGATTGTACAGAATATCTCATTTGGCTACAATAGTTCTCGAGTTAATCTCCAAGGAGGAAAGGTAGACGAAATCTGATCCACATGTGTGCTAACTCTTCCAGCCACTGTCTTTCCAGTCCCTCTCTTCAATTCACTAATAGGGGAAGAAGAGGACAGGACTAGGAAAGGAAAGGAAATAGCATTTTCAGTTGGCATTTTCTTTGACTATTCAATTTTACTTGGAATTTTGCAGTTTTGACCTCTTTTTTTTTTTTTTTTTTTTCCCTTAACATCTATCTACATTTTAATATACCTATTTTACTATATACTTGTAAATATCATCTGGAAAAACAGTAATACTGAATCGTAGGTGTGAATCATCAGTGGAGAGCTGTATAATGATAGTGAAGTTTAGACAGGCAAACATTTGGTTTGTGTCTCTTTTGGTATCTGTTAAATTTCTTCTTCTTTCTCAATACTTCTGTTAAAAGATGTCAAGACTCATAGTTTAGGTACAGTTCCAAATTATATTAGGCATAGATTTATTTCAGCTCAAGTATAAAAAAGATATGTTTTTAAAGACAAGATCCAATTTTCTCCACAGTTTAGGCAGTTTTGAGTGTGTGTGCCCCCCCCCCATCATTTCTGTACCAGTTGGAAGGTTTCCCAACTATAGTCTGACCTCACAACATTAAAACATGATAAAAAGACATCATTCTGTCTGTGCTGTAATATCATTGTTTGATTTTGATGATTGCTATTTCAACGCACAGTTATTAGAGTGGGAAGTGACTTCTTAAAAATAAAAATAAATAAATAAATAAAAGGAAGAAGAAGAATGGCACGTACGTGTATTTCAGCAGAGGCATACTTTCAAAGAAGCTGTTACCTAGCACTAGGGCCTGTCAGGCTGTGTGATGTCTGCATCTGTACATGAATAATCACATAGTTTCAGCACCTGATAGTTCTGCCTGTCAGGAATGGCCCATCACCGAAGTTCAGAAAGATGTTTTTCTTACGAGTCCTCCACTTTACTGAGTTTTGCTATACTAAGAAGCATCCACACAATCTGTAGGTCTTAGTGTCCACACGGATAGGGAAGAAGCACATGTGGATAGCTTGCTGTATCTGCTGGAATGTCTCACAGGAGTGAAAATAGTCACTAGCTGGATCCAGATTACTCAGAGCTGCAGTCAGGCCCACGTTTAAGAACTCAACCTTTATGCTTCTTGTTCAGGTTTATGGAGTTCTGCTGTTGTGCTTCCAATGCAAATAAACCATGCTATGGAAAGATTTTCTTTTTACTCTTCTTATCGTTTGCATTTTACCTTGAAAATATCTTTTCATCAATTTTTGTGAAGGAAGGGGAATACTTCCCTCCCTCCCCCCCCCCCCCCCCCCTCCCCCCCAATAAACAGAGATTTGTGTTTTGCTTGTTTTTTTTTCACACTCCCAAAAAAAGTCATTCTATGACTGAAGAGAGTAAAGGGCTCTTCCTCTCCTGAATTTGGTACAAAACTCATTTTGTGCTGCTACATGATATATTTCCAATGCAGGCAAACTCTGAAGTCCTGGAATTTATCCTCCCCAACCCTACAGCTGAGTTATTACAGGGACTTTGTTAATAAAAATGTTAACTCTTTATATATGCTCAGTCAGGAACTTGGAACTTACATCTCAAATAAAAAAAGAAGTTGTGACCTTTTTTCTCTGGATTAACACAAATTTGGAAGGCCAAGTAATTTTTTTGGACAGAGCTTCCCTTGAACGAGGTCCTTGAGCTATGTCCTCTTGAACGTAGATGTCTCAAGGAGTAGCTGGCATTCCTGGTCTCCCTCAAGGCAAGGTTGTAGTAAAAAAATAACAGTCTGAATAAATTTCTCTATAGATCCACAGATCTGCCAATCTGAGTCTTCCTGCTTGGGTATGGTGCACCTGTATGGATATGCATTAGCTTGTTTTATCATGTTGAAATTGGAATTCCTTTTTTCTTTCTTTCTTTTTTTTTTTTTCCCTTTTTCCCCTTGAGATAGCTAATTTGTATGAGAAAATAATTTTGACTAGAGTTGTTCTACCTTTGTCTGAAAATACTTTTGTTAATTTAGTGTACTCTTTTTGTCACGACTTTATTATTTCTTCGTAGTAACTTTTATAAGTCATAATAGTTAGAACAGGAAGTTTTAGACTGGATTTTTTAATCTTTGAAATGGCTTATTCTCTTCCTGCCTGTACTGCTCTCATACCTTGATACAGTTGCCGTCACCATCACTCCTGTGGTGTCACTCTCCAGTGGTCCCATTGTATTAATCCTGGAATTGCCTCTTCAAAGTAAATTGGATCATCTCTAAAGTTCAGAGAATTATTTCAGGATTTTATTACTGGGCAAGCTGCTGACCTGATATTCTTGCCTCAAAGAGAATATACCAGGCTCTGTTTCCAGCATAGATACTTGTTCTGTGTGATTTCAGTACATCTGGCTGAAGTCAGTATTTTAGTTTTTCCTTTAATTTCTTTTCTGTCAAACACCTCTAGCAAAATCAGCTTAGCACCATCCATCCTATTCCCCTGAGAATTTTAATTAGCTCCATGCTGAATGCCCACTGCAGTGCAATTGTGTGTGCTTGATTTCTACATAATTATTTGTCAAAACTGAATTGCTATGATTATGTTAACTTCTGCATTGTTGTGTATCTGCAGCCCAAACAACATTATGGGGGAAAAAAAAAGGGAAAAAAAAATTGAATCCATTCAGACATCACTATAAGAGAGATATGATCTCAACCTTGGGCTGTGGGTATGGTCTGTGTGTCACAGTAATTTTTTGACTGGCAAAGGGGAAAGAAAAATAAGGTAAATATGAACTGTTCTTTACTTGGTGTGCCTTTGGGACTGATCCAGATATACCAATCTGTGCCTCATATATTTGGTGATGCCAGAGACATAAAAACTACTCCAACACAGTTACAAGTTCTTGCAACATGCAGGCAGCTGGATGTGTGATAGAAAAATAGCCATCTCTGGCTTCATATCATGTGTACTCTGACTTAAGTAACATTTTCGGTGGGATGGGGACACAGGGAGATGGAGGCCAGGTGCACTCCTGCAGGCAGGTGGACCCTTGGGGACCATTCTGCTTTATGTAGCTTGAAGGAGATCTTCGGCTCTGAGCCACCTGTCAAGGACATGGTTAGCCAAGGATTTGTTATCTCCCTTTTCACTCTTGCTGTATGCAGTTATGCCTTTGAATTTCAGCAATAACTCACCTGGGCAAGGGGGATGCAACAACAGAGCCTGCTGAGGAGCAATGAAAATGTGAGAATGGTGCCGTGGGGCAGAAATCAGTTATAGACAGTCCTCAGTGTCATGCTGGAAGGGACCAAGGTTTCATTGTGATTCCCTTGGATAGGCTGGATAAGAGAGTTGTTGCATGTTCCCACTTGTTGGAATAACCCAGGGGCACCTGACAGGGCACCTTCAGTCCTGGCTTTTGACAAAGAGTGTTATTCCACTGAAGAAAAGGGAACATGGAGTGGGAGTCCACCCAGCAACTCTCTGTCCTAGGGAAGGCTTCTTGGTAGAGAAAGGGACAGGTGCCTTAGATGAGTCTCCTTCCAAATGAGAAGGGAAAATATGGAGAGACCATATGGTGCAATTTGATCCTGTACAGAACAAATGAAGGTTCATCCACAGCGAATTAATTTTGGATGTGACTTGCTTTGAGTTTTGCTTATTAACATTTTGCTAAACTAATGTTGTTTTTATACTAGACTTTGCAGGTGCAGGTACCTAAAACAGATGCCATTTCTTGCTGTCAGTTTTTCAGGAATACAAGGCAATTTCTGCTTGTGCTTACATTTGTTATATTCATAGCTTTGTGTGCAAGACATATTGATGGTCAAGAACTTGCTTTGTTTTTATTTATTCAGAACTATAATGATCCTCTGAAAAGGAGCTTGAGGAGTGGATACCTTTGTCAAATCTAATGCCTTCCAGATCTCAGGCCAAATTGTTCTTTTATGCAACACCAGGCACTGAAATTAGCTTTTCTTTTTCCACATAGCTGAGCAGGTGCCATTAGTACTCACATACAAGCCTTTGCTCTGCCTAGCTCTTTTTTTGCAACTTGTGGGTGGTGATGGAAAGGTATATATTTTGTGCTTCTCTCATTGTACAGGGTAGTGTCAGGATGAAAGCTAGCACTGCACAGACCTGTGAAATACAGGCAAGACTAGCAATGTTTTTTCAGACCTCGAAAAATATTCTTATATTGGCAGGTTTCTCTTAGTCGCTAATGAGCAATGAAAAGAACAAATGGATGGCAGAGAAGCATTGAAAATGGATAGTTAGTACTACAAAGTGTGCATGTATGTTTTTTGTTTGTTTGTTTGTTTGTTTGTTTGTTTCCCCCCCTTCCCAAACAGCTTCCATGCTGAAGCCCTTAGAGGAAAGCACTTACAGGTGTTTGATTTCTTTCAGGTCCTCAGATTTTGGGACGTTATACACAAAGTTGAATCTGCAGCCTGGGATTGCCACTGTTATTGACAATTTCTACATTTGTCCCACCAACAAAAAAAAGGTATGTGGCAAAAAAATGACATTTTTATAGTGCAATGGAGACTCTATGACTATGTGAAGCGTGTTTTATTGGCTTGTAAAAAATAGGGGAAAGTTTTTCACAAAGTTGCTGGTCTCTTTAGGTGCATTTGTGACATATGCAAGCAGGATATTTATTCTTGCTGTATAGTATAGAAGGGGAAAATGCCTTGAAGGACTATGAAAACTTTTGAGGCCGTTGACTTCTGGAAATGGAGTTTCCATGGAGTTTTTTCCAGAAAGAGAAAAGCAACTTGTGTAGGTTTTCACACATCCACAAAAAATTTGGGACTAGCATTTAACCTCTTCATCTTTTATACACAATTTAAAAGTCCGTTTGGATGTTTCTAAGTACAAAGTATAGGGATTGGAAAGGCTTTAATTGAGAATGATGTTTATCCTGTGCAAAACCTTAATTAAAAAAACAAAACCCACTGATCCTTGGAACTCTTTTTTAAAAAAAAACAAAACAAAAACAAAACAAAACAAAAATACATGTTTCTACATCATTACCGAACCAAAAAGCTTTTCATGGCACCTAGGAAGATTAAGTGAACTTCATAAGTGAGAGTGAAATTGACCCACTGAGTGTATTTACAATGGATGTTATATTAGAAGAGGCAAGAAGAGTGATTATGAGAAAAAACAACAACAACAACAAAAAAACAATAACAAGCCTTCTAAGTCTGCAAAATGCTTGTGATTTAAAATGCAGGAATTGTGAAATACGTTATGAATAGCACAAACACAGTAGGTTTTTCATGAAATAAGAACTTTCTCTTGATAGGGGCCTTTTAACTACAGTGTAATACGGAAGAATTGACTTCATGTGGAGGCCACTGATTGGAAGGACAATTTTAGTTGTGTTTATCTGTCTGTTCTGTTTAATCAAAAATCAGTAGAATTTGTTGAGACTATCTGGATGATTAAGTACATATTTTATTTCTCTTGCAATTGTGACTGGAGTTTTTGTGACCAAGCTATGCTATTCCTTGGTAATATATTTTTAATCTCCTATGAAGTCAGAAATGTTTTTTTGTTTGTTTGTTTCTTGGAGTGGATCTACCACCAAGCACAAAGTTTCTGTGCACTGTCTGTCTTGGAGCTAAAATTTACTGATGATTTCAAGTCCAAAAAGAATCAACAAAGCTTTATCCATTTTGGTTTCCGGATTGGAAGCTGAAAATATGAGAAAGATGACAGCTCTGTGGAGAATTTTTCCCAGTATAAAAGCCTACAGACGCATGTCAGTGCCTGTGTGATTGTGCCAGTTGTCTGGCAAAATGGTAAGATCATTGCTGAATTTCAAGCCTGAAGACGGATGTTCACAAAAAATCTCATGTTAACCCAGTCTTAAAAAAAAACAACACTATTTTCTGCTCAAGGCAACTTGAAGTCCTTAGAGATGCATATCTGGCTTAGTAAATTGATATTGTATTGCAATCCACTGGTTATAGAGAGTGCTTTTGTTGTTAGTCATTAAATACACTATTTTTACGCTGTTTTGTTTTTCTGAAGATGATGTTCAATAGTATATGAACAACAAAACAGAAGAACAGAAGGATTTCTAGGGACTGTAAATTATACCAGAAGGAAACATATGTATATGTGCAGATGTACACACATACATGGTACAAAAAAATGGTGAAAGCATTGGAGTCAAACGGTGCAGCCCACAGATTGAAACTTGGCTTGGAGGTGGTGTGGTCACACATACCAAGTAAGCAGGAAGTCTCCATGTTATGAGAACTTTTTCAGTTGAAATGGTAGCTTTTCTGGTGTTGGACATATCTGGTGTTGGATACAATGACTAACGTCTGATTTCACAAAAGTCATTTGGAAAGATGGAAGAAAATTTCTCCCTACCGTCCATTTCAGGACAAATGCACTAGGGTGTAAGAAAACATTTACAGCTCTGACTTCCTTTTCTAAGCTGAGCAAAAGTTTCAAGTTTTGACTTTTTACTGATATTATTAGACTTCAGATTACCATGGTGTGGGTTTTCTTCAGCCGGTTCACATCTTTTGAAATGTGCTGAAAATGGGAGCTGTGCTGGAGTGCTGGCTGTGCTTACTGGCATTGAGCGTGCATTTAAATTTAAGGCATAAGTAGTCCCATGCTGCCAGTTAGCATTTAGGGACTGGGAATATGCATGAAAGCAAAGATAAAAGACATCGATGGTGATTTTTGGAATATTTTGCATATTGAGCACTATTCTGTGCTTTAATTTTGTTTACCTATTGTAGACCTCATCTGTGGAAGAACTGATACTGCATATATAATGCTAATCTTTTACACCTCAGTGTCATCAGTGCTTTAATCTCACCTGAGTTTAGGTGTTCTGTCAAGTCTCCTCTCTCTGTAGTGAATGGAAAAGCTTGGATACCTCCAGGCAATTCATCCTGTTAAAGTCATAGATTATTATACATATGAGAATAAGACTGAATGGTCTTGCGCAGGTTGCTGTAAAAGATTTTGTGACTGTAGTGGGTCTGCAGTGAGTCTCACTGCAGCTTCCTACAAAGAGAAATGAAGAGATGGAAAATAGTTTTTGGTTTGGAATGCTATTAAATGAAATATTTGTAAGAAGGCTCCAGTCTCGTTCTTGGATTGACATTATTTCTTCAGTTTACCTCTGCCTATATACCAGCTCCTGGAAGACCTTAGAATTTCACTCAGTGTGCTTGCAGTCTGTGAGGTGTAATTATACCATAAAGACCAATGGACTTGTCAGTGAGCTTTATACAGAAAATGTGAAATTATACTGGAAATTTTTGGATCCTGTGAATTGTTCATTTTTACTTTCTTAAGATGAAAGAAACCTTAATTCTTATCTTCTCAACACCATTAAGAAGTTTAAGAAGTTAAAATTCCACAGAATCATCATGCTGTTTATGATGAAGTGCATTCGCAAGTGCAGAGGTGAGAACCACATCCTTTTCACGCAGTGCTCCATGGAAAGGCAATTATATTTCTAAATAAATAATAATATAATAATTTTACAAGGTAAGCTATAGGAATGCTGGGGACTTTCAAGTAGCTGGTGGAAGGAAGGAAGTCAATTTACAAACCCCACTGAATACATCCAAAGAAGTGACATGTTCCTTTTCTATGTTACTCTTCTGTGAGTGGGTTGTTATGAGTACTGTTCATAGGTCTGCAAGAATCAGTACAGAATTGTATCAAGGTTATGTCTACACAGTCCTTTGTAGGTGGTTCTTGTTCTGCCTGAATGCAGCAGAACTCTGATGCAAAAAATGTGTTGCTGTGGTTATCACAGGACTCAACCTATGAAACCCACTTTTGATGAGAAACGATGACAAATACCTGAGGGTAGAGCTTTAGGGTGTTTTGCATTACTCTGAATGAACCTTTCTGATGAAATCATGGCATCGAGGTGTGAACTGTGACTGTTCTGGTTGTGAATCAGAGCTGACTGCAGTCAGCCAGCAGCACAAGAAGACATTCCCATCTACATGCAGAAGTTTTTGTAGGCTCACCCTAAATTGCTGTGAAACAATGGAGTAATAGGAGAGGTAACACTAATTAAAAGTTCACACTTCCTGAGGATGCATTATTTGCTTTGTATTCTGGCTGCTTTTAGCATAGTAGAAATCTGCAACAAAAGACAGGGAAACCATTAATCACATTTTTCTGCCATGGTTTTGGAAAGTTATAAGGTAATGTGGGTGAGATCTCTTATGCAGTCTCTCTGATAATAACTTCTGCATATGAACTAATTTTTCATTGATCTGTGACATAAAATACCCCTAGTTTTTGCCGGCCTTGAAGTGCTGTGCCTTGATAAGGGATGTTCTTGCACTTAAATCAACAGAAACAACTTTGCAGTAATTACTCTATGCTGATAGCATCAAACATTCCAGGCTTTCTAGAATGTACCACGTAGAGAAAACAATTTGATCTGTATCCTCTGATTTTTTATTTTTATTTTTTAAACAAACAAGCATGATAATTATGCTTATGAAATGATGCACACATGGAATACAGAATTATGTTTTCCATAGTGTCATTCTGGAGTCAGGTAAACAAAGTATTATTTTTTTTTTTCTATAGAAGACAATAGCAGAAGTCACATTCACTGAGCTAAATTAACAACAGAACATATAACATTTTTATAGGTCATACATGTTTTGGGGTATAGAAGTTATATATTCATTTTAAATCTGTTTTTATAATATTGCTGGACAGGAGTTGAATGAAAATGCTGACCTTTTCCCACATTGGGCACATATTTTAATTTTCATTGATGCACAGGAGTGTGACGCATCCATCCTCTGTTTACACACTTCTGGAAAAGAAGCAGCTAAGCAGTTTATATTCAGGATTTTCATGTTAATAGAAAATAAATGTCGATTGTGTCTATACTGACTTAATAGTTAAGTGGGCTGAACACTTACATTCTCCAGCTGTCACAATAACCAACAGCTGCATGTTTTTCCAAGCTAAAAGGCAAGATGACAGACATGTATTCTTGCTTGACAAACCTTGCAGAACATGTAAAATAGTAGTAAGGATATAGGTTATCCTCTACAATATTTTAACTCCCGATACCTTAAAAAATAGTATAATTTACACATGATAGCAAAATGGTATTTGCCACAGCTATAAAAGCATTTCCCAAGATGCAACTGGGTTGAGCAATGTTTGTAATCACTAACAGGTAAATGCAGTCCTACACCATTTTGACATTCGTCTTTCAGAGCAAAACAAGTGGTAGTGGAAGTTGTCAAAATGCAGCATGGCTACATTTACTTGTAAGGAATAATCCTGCTTGAGTTTCAATTTCCTTAGAGACCATACCAGAATGTCTTGAAACATACCGAGCAGAATTATCTTACACTTTTATTAGTAGTTGTTGTCAACTAAGAAATATTTCTTTCAATAACCCAAGTAGTTTCTTCAGGAAGGTTTCACTGTGAAATTGCAGAATATGATCGGTATCTTGTGATGTATCATCATGAT